CCCCCGTTCCGGCCATCTTGGTTGGCCCGGCTCGCCCAGTCGTTTGTCGTCGGGCGGAAAGATCGTGTATACGTCTGCAGGTTTCGATCGCGGGTTCTTCCATTTGCAAACCACCGTTTTCCATTCTTGTTTTTGTTCTTGTTCGGGTTCTCGTGGATCTATCTCTTCGTGTTCATCACCGTTTCATTCAAAAGCGCGAGTAGTGCCCATTCTTCCGGTACCGGTCGCACGTTATTACATAAAAAAAAAAAAACACGAAAGAGCTATCGAAGATGACTGCGAACATACCGCAAGGATCCCTTCTGGATGTCCTCAAGAAGAAGATGAGGCAGACCAAGGAGGAGATGGAGCGTTTTAAGGACGAGTGCGAGGAGTACAACAAGCGTCTGAAGGGCGAAGTCAACAGGAGGGAAGAAGTAAGAGAGAGAGGACGCCTTCTCGTCTTGATCATCCTCATCCTACATCACATCATCCACCCTTTTTGGCAGCTCAAAGCTCTGCAACTTGTCCTTCCTTCCTTCAACCATCGAAAATCGATGCACGCGAACCACGCCACACGCGCTTTCCTTCCCCATTTCTTCTATATTATTTTTTTTAAATAAATACTTATTCCCATTTCGTCCTTCCACTCTCTCGCACACCATGTAGTAGACTTTTATAAGTATAGTACAGTCTCTCGAGCGATATTTTTCGTCCGTCTGTTGCATGTCACGCCCGTGGCCCAAGTATGTAACACATACAGTGCGTTGCCCCGTTATTGATTTTTCCGACAGGATAAAATAAAAACGTGTACTCTCATGACGTGCCCAAAAAAGAACGCACAAAAACCACCCCGACGAAATACAAAAATTTGTTTCATTCATATTATGTAATCATTCCCATGGCCATCGTCGCCGTTACCGGTTGCTTTTTTTTTTTATTATATTTATCACTTCGTTTCATCGTATTTAATTCCCGCATTCCAAACCTCACAAGTCACTCTTCTGGAAAAGACTTCTCTCTTAACCATAATTTCGTTATGCAAATGTGTTTATTACCCTATGTTTCTTTTTATATTTATTTATTATCATCATCGTAAACACTCGGATTACGTTATCAATATTTACTCGCTCTGCATATTTGTGTTTTTTTCTTCTCTCTTTCGGTAAAATTCGGTTGTACCAAGATAACGATGACTCTCTTAAACTCTTCGTGTCTGTTCTTTGGTATTTGTATGTTTTGTTTGTTGCACCTTTGCAAAATAAAAAGTGTAAATAAGCAAAATCGGCGATTCTTTCATTACAGACTACTGTTTCAGTCTTCGCTGCATATTTTGTTTCGATTCGACGAAAACAAGAATTTTCGCTTAGTCTGTCTTAAAAACTATCGAATTGTTGAATATTTGTTTGTTAAAACTTTGTGTTTCTGTTCAATTTCAATGAAAATTTGTTAATTCCTCTGCTCACAATTCAGTATGTTTAAATCGTATTAGAAAATGACTATAATTAAGTATTAACACATTATCATTAATGAAAATGAAATTATATTCACTATATTTTCATTTTGATTAAGAAAAAAGTTGTTGGTTGGTTAATTGAAATTTCCATAAAGAAAACCAATCTTTCAAAACAAAATTTATTGAAATATCAAGTTTTCAAAAAAATTGTATTGGTTACAATTTATTTACTTTTCTTTGGTTATTTCAAACTAATTGAAACCGTTTAAATACATGCAGTTTTTAAACTAAATACATCATTTATTTGAACTACTTTACCACAAAGTATCTCTATACCTATATTAGAATAGAAACGCATGTATAAATGTTTCGATTATCATATATTTAAATTCCGGTTTTAGATGAATCATACTTTGCAGAAATTACATTTTATTTTGTCTCTCTTTTTTAATTTTTACAATTCAATTTATATAGATTATTGGATGAATGTTCTTTAAATTAATAGTGGTAATAATTGCAACGAGTAAAAGTCTTCTGTAACCTTGCTTAATTAAGTCATTTTTAGTTATGACGAGTCGCATTGCGGCAATTTACATTTGATTACGTATACGACAAAACGTAGGAATTCGCCTTCTTTACTTACACATTGCAAGGTAATAACGGTATAAAGAAAAAATATGCAGTCGAGACTCGCAAATTGAAATTGAAAGATTGTTGCCAATTTAATTTGAATTGATTCTTCTAAATATTTAATGAGAATGTTATAAAATCATCATATGTTGTTTGTTTAATGAAACAGTGTTAATTATTGAAACGAGGAGTATCGTTTTCTAAGCAGTCTCTACGGGGTTTTTAATATCAGAAAAGCGAAACGAAAGTTTTTTTTCTTCTCTCTATTCATTATTTTCCTTTTGTATCATGAAAGGAGCGAAGAGAAGCTGAGAAGAAAGTTCCGATTGAAACGGAACGATTCTCGAAGTATTGTGATACTCGTGCGATGAATCGACTCGATTATTAAATCAATACTGTATAGATAAATAATGTCAGTTTCCTATGTTTGTCGCGTTTTACCATTTTAGTCATCGTCGCGATGCTGATGATTCATTGCGAGCGATAAGTCGAGTTTCCCCATTTCTATATTCGTAGCTCCGCATAGTCCGTTTTTGGAAAGTGGATGGAGAGAAAAAAAAATATTAATAAAAACAACAAAATTTTGAATGCATGATTAATAGTAACGTAGTCGCGCCTCTGGATTTACAGTTAAAGTGGATGATCTCTCTCTCTCTTTCACACTCACTAACTCTGGTAGTTTAACGAAGATCATCATCATCTGGATGGATTTAGAGACAATTGAGAGATCGTCTGGTATTCTCTTAGTTCTCGGGTCAACAACATCCAGTGTTTTTTGAAACAATGCTCGTTATTATCACCATACCAATTAATTGAGACAAGAGGACCAATTAATACAAATATTTGTGTCATTTAATCACTAATTAATGAAGATTTGGAGTATTTTAACTCTTGACTTTTTTTTTGTCAATTAATACCAATTTTGAAATATTTCAAATACATTTTCGGATCCAACAACAGCGTTTATCCAATAAATTCCTAACTGCTTTATTTCAAGCATAGTTCTTCGGTTAATTACATCGGATTACGCCTGAATCCGTTCAATGGGATAATCATCGCTTACGCAACGCCCCGCAGTGTTGTTGGCCTTTGCGTTACGTAAAATCGAGTCGGTATGAAAATAGCGCTCAACGATTCATATTATTATTATTATTTTTCTTAGCCCGTAAAGAGACAATATTTGCTCCTCCACTTTGACCCATCTCGTGCAACGTTTAGCTTAATTTACTGTGGTCCTTTCAGGTGCAATTAGGATGCGTTGATTTCTTGTGGAAACACCGATTTTCGGTCTTTAAATATAGACCTGACACACTTTTAATCTCTCCTTCGTCTCGGCAAAACGTTTTAACATTGAATCTCTCTCGTTCGCCGTTCGCGTAAAGGTCACGCATTCGTTTTGAATAACGTGTATTCATTCTTGCCTTCTCTCCGTCTTTGGCTATCTCGTATCGAAGAAGTGAAAGATCCGTTGCGGCCGAAGGCGAATTCGCAATTATCATTCGTAATGATCGTCGTCTCGTAAACACGTAACTTCGACTTCCCTTCGATCATCTCTGATCGTTTATTATTTTAGTTTATTTTTTTTATCACAACTTATGCAACGCAATTATTGACATTAATTGGTTTATATATTGTATACGTTTTGTCGTCAAAATAATGAATTTGTTCATTCAGAACACATCAGCTATGATTTACATTCTTTTGTTCGATGATTGGAATGTGGTTTTTCCTATTCATCATTGATTAATGCCAAATCTTTTCTAAACTGTTTCAATTTTGTATAGCTACTAGAAAAAGTAAAGTAAAATGTTTACAAATTCAATGCGAAATTCAATGATTCGTGTTCATCAATGATGAATGAATGTTATTTTATTATATTTATCATCATTTTGTGGTTATTAATTTTATAATATATTTAGTTCTGAGAAGTCGGTCATCGTTTTTGTTATCATCATGATTGTATTCGATCGAAATTCCAATTAGATTCGATAAATATTTCTTATTTATAATAGTAAATTGGTTTCATTCAGACTTATTTTTAGATTTCTCGGTAATCTGTTATTGTTAATTCTTGCGGATTTTACAAATTCTTGATGTAATTGTTAAATCATTGTTATTATAAGGAAATTGAAAGCTTACTGCTAGAAATGTATATGAAATCATCAGTTTTTTTAATGTAAATATTGAAATTTGTTATTGTTAGTTATTTTTAGATATTTAGATAGTTAATTTATCAAAATCATTATTTTTTCAAGTTGAGGAAATTTGGAATAGAAAAATTAAGGACAAAATTGGATTATGATTGAGAAAAAATTGGGATAGTCAAAAAATTGGATTGTGAAGAGAAATTGTCGACGTTTTAACGATCGGTAATTAGTCTTTCGCACGCGGTTGTTCTTTTTTTGTTGTTGTTGTTGTTGACTTCCGGTCGGGGTGATTCATGCGCCATTGTTTTCGGGTGCGTACTAATCCGTGTGTGTATCCTTGATGATCGAAGGTTACGCATTGCGCTTGTGAAATATTAATTTGTGCCCATTGATGATGATGATGATGATATTGTGAAGAGGATAGGATGATGATGGGATGTTGATGAACCTGAGGAACGGTGGTGGCGCGACCTTCCAAGGTCGCAGCAGAAACCGGCTCGACCCGTCATTGTTGCATCCACCTAACTCGCCTTTGGGTTTCCATTTATTATTTTCCCCTCTGCATTTATCCTATCCTCCGGTTAATAGTTGTTGCGGTAGCAGCTTGATTATGTATATATATATATATAAACTGGGAGGAAGTGTGGCTTCGCGCGCACCGCACTTCCTTCCGGTTTACGCTCATTCGAACATATTATATATTTTTTTGTTGTTAATGTTTCTTGTTACCAAATTTCGTGTTATGTCAGACTCGTTTTTAACGGTTGTTTTTTTTTCTTTGATTGCAGGCCGAATCCGAAGTTGCCGCCTTGAACCGTCGCATCCAGCTTTTGGAGGAGGACTTGGAGCGTTCCGAAGAGCGTCTCGCCACCGCCACCGCTAAGTTGGCGGAGGCCTCTCAGGCCGCCGATGAGAGCGAACGGTTAGTGTCCTTTACCAGTGTACTACTTTATCCGTACACTTAAGAAGGACGGATTTTCGTCCTTCCATTTCTTTCAGCAATCGCGTTTGCCATTGACGAATTGACACAATTCGTTCTCTCTTTTGTTTTATTCGTTGCATCCGTTGCGTCATTGTTCCAAAAAGCTGATTGACATTTGCATCGCCATGCGTGTTTGTGGATCTATTACAATGCTACGTCCAAATTTGGACTATGTTGATTTTTTTTTTTGGAAACAATAACGCTTCCTATTTTGGATGCAGTATTACAATAGACACTCATTCAGCTTGCATTATTTGTGACTCAAAATATGTGTACAATCATAACTACACCCAAAAGTGTCGAATCTATTATGACTTTGTAACAATTGGATTAATTAGAGTCGAAATTTAAAATCTATTTTTAGATTGAAATTTTCATCCTCAACTTTGTGAAATATTTTACAGTAAAACGTTGATTTTCAATTATTAAGTAATAATACTGAAAAAGTATTAGTAATAGATCTACAATACATGGATTGTTGCAATGGTTAATTTTTTTTTTGGAGGAATTGATGAAGCAACAAAAACGAAATTTGAAAGTTTTTTTTATTTCAACATTGAAAATTTTGATTTGATTTCATTTTCTAAATCATCAAAACTGTTATTATTGAATTATTTAAATCTAAAACAATTTTCTTGAAAAAAATTGCATATTTCTAACATAATGTAATGATTTTTCATATTTAATTTTCAAAGTTCAAAATGATTGAATTTTTTATATAAAATTTAAGAAAGTTATGCAAAAGAAACTTGTTTTAAAACTCATTAAATTTGCATAAAAGATAGCTTTATTTTTTTTTGGCGAGCTTTGTGTCATTTTTCTGGGAAATTGTATATTTGCATGTACCAGAAGCAAAAGTAAAGTGTCGAGCACATCTGCTCTCTCCTCTTGTGGCCATTCCATTTTACGTGTTCGTCCGAAGCGGTGGAACATTTTCAGAGTTCATTCACACCGTTCGTACCTTCAACCACGAGAATGTAAATTATTCTGGACGCAAGAGGACGAGCGATGCCTTTTAAAAAATTCATACCTGGCCTTCTTCCAAAAGTGCACCATACACATTCAGTGTCGCACACCTGGCTTGAAGTAACAAATAAATCAAAAAAAGGGAACGAACTACAATCGGAAAGCGAAAGCGTTTTTCTACAATTGAAATGCAAAAAAATTTAAATTATTATTTTGATTATGAAAGAAAATTAAATTACGTATACGATAAGTATGGTATAATGAAAGATCTTAATTTTTTCATAATCAATCATGTAAAAAGTTACAATAAAAGTAGTAATAAGTCACTATATTAAGTAAATAGTAGAAGATATCTCTTGTATGATTTATTGTTGAAAACTGAAAGACTTTTATATTATATCATTAAACAATTATTCTTATGATTCGTCAATGGCAAACTGCGATCTTTCAATTTCAGCGATTTCTATAATATCTGCGAATTGATTGTATTTCATTCTTTGCAAAATGTACTTATTTTTCCTCTTCGTTCGACGATTGTACCAAAAAAACAAACGCTATAAAAAGAATGCCCAAAGTCGTCGGTTCTGTTTCCCGTCTTCTGTGATAACGTGCACACGTAACACACAATGGTTTTCTCTGATTCATCGGAAATTGAGGTTACCGTGTGGACAATGGGGGAGTAACGAATTATTCATACCACTCTTTAGATTCAACAATCATCATCGATAGAACACCTCAGCACTCTGCAATTTAATCATGACTATTGACGTGTCGAGTTTGTGGATCGACGTTAATCGTGGAATGTTTTTCAATCGTTATTTTCTTTTTTTTTTATGACCTAATCCATCCCAGAAGCTCTTTTTCAATTTTCATATTTTTGTTCAAATCTATTCTTATTATTTAACTTTTTTAATCTATATAACTGTAGTTACATCAGATTTAATATTCTTTTACATGAAATTCCAACGCTATTTGCGTCTATGATGAACCATTCCGATTTTGTATATTTTTTTTTAATTATGCTTCGAACTTAGCGCAAATATTTACGTTTGCGGAAAAAACAGACACGTTTAGAGCGTTCTTGTTTCTCAGATGTCGTCGTCTGTGCACTCTACATATTTTCTATCTTTCTTTCTTTTTCGCTCTATACCCATATGTTATTAATTCCATTTTATTGGAATCCGTAGAAATTCTCCTTTCCCAACATATTACTACATACCATTTTAAGCTCGTTTCGTTCCAACGTTGCATAACGAAATTAAATTGAAACGGGAAACCATGTTTAGTTTTCAGAAGCGGCGATTCCTACAGTAAACTCTAAACACTTTCCTGTGTTTATTTTTCTTTCAATTCTTTTTATCAATATGAATAACTAACTTTCCATTCATCCATATTTCCATTCGATGGATTTAATTACTTTTTTTTGGTCAAATTACAATTGAACTCCCGAAATCTTCAATTTTCAATATTCTTGTTTTGTTTTCTGAATGAAAACAAATTTTATTAATTAGTTTTTTTTTTGAGTTATTCAATTAACAAGAAGTTGTAATAATTTGTTGATGGAAATAAGTTTGTTTGGAAGATCCTTTATCAACATTAATCTTATGAGAGAAGCCGTTATTTTCTTCTGAGGAAATTCCTTTTTATTTAGAAGCGTTTTGGTACAATCGTCTGATGTTAAAAAGAATACGTCGGCACTACTGTTTTTTTTTCTCATGTTCTCTTTTAGGTCTTGCATACTCGAAGTTATTTATTTAAAACAAATTAATGAAAAAAAAATAATTTCTTTTAACAAATCTATCATTTTATATGAAAAATTAAGAAGAATTCAAAAATTTTAATAATCGAATTTAGTACTCATGAACATCAAATTATACATTTAATCAGAGTATTTACTACTAATCTTCAGTTTTTCTTGAATGACATTTTATTAAACAATTTGGCAATTAATTGTAGATTATTGATTTACAAAAAAAACTGTATTAGGAAGCTTTATTAGTGTTTTAAATTTTTATTTCAAGTTCAAGTTCAATTTTTATGAATTCATAATTCTTGATTAGTTACAAATTTGATGAAGTAAATTGATCAATTTTAAGGGTAAATTTGTGGAATTGATTTGGAATTTATATGAAGAAAAATAATTTGTGGAGATTAAGATTTGGTTTGGGAAGACAAGATTTATGAAATACTCTGATGAATGAAATTATATTATAATGATGAGCTTCGACTGTGTAAAGACTATTTTTCATTTGCTATTTTTCTTGTTGTTATCTTGATGAACTTGTTAGGATACGCAAAGCGTTAGAGAATAGGACCAACATGGAGGACGACCGGGTGGCCAGCCTGGAAGGCCAACTAGCTCAGGCCAAACAAATTGCAGAGGAGGCCGATAAAAAATATGAAGAGGTACTTACTGCTTACCACATTCTTTCCGAAACTGTTGCACTCGGTTGTATCTCTCTATTTCTCTCTCTCTCTTTATTATATATTCTCTGTGTATCTTCCATCTCTTGAATGTGTACGAAAAAATTGTTGGATTAAATTTTGTATTTAGGTAGGACGCGAGGTCGTTTTGATGATGACATCGAGATCATCGTGATGATGATCCTTGCACCCACATTATTTTTTTTGTAGTAGTATTATTATTTTTTATTATTATTTGTGTCTCGTGCATTTGATTTGTGTATTAAACGTATTCTTTCTTTTCTTTTCTTGGTTATGTAATGTAGCGCCCGCAAGGTTCTCGAAAACCGTGCCTTGGCCGATGAGGAGCGCATGGACGCTCTCGAGAACCAGCTGAAGGAGGCTCGTTTCCTCGCTGAGGAAGCCGACAAAAAATACGATGAGGTCCAGACTTAGCGTTGCTCTTTCTTTGTTGTTGTTGATGTTGTTGAATTTTTTTTCTCCTTTGATTTTGTTGATGTTGTTGTTGGTTGGTTGATTGATTGATTGTTTTTATACATACATAACTTACGAGAGTGGTGACACACTAATTTCGAGTGCCTTCTACAAAACAAAAAAAATCGACGCAACTGATGAAGGAAAAGAAAAATGAGAAAAGAGAATGATTAAAATGATATGAAGCAATGACGAGAGTCGACGAAGACGACTGCTACGACGACTACAACTGCGACGAGATGATCTGTGCTATAGTTTTTTTGTTCGATAGTTGACACACATAACGCTTTTCCCCCTGCAATAGTTACATCTGTTTGTTTGTTGTTTTTTTTTTGAAAAAATTGGTTAAATTTGTTTCTATTTTCTGTTGACTTGACTCATATACGAAAAATTTATTTTTGACGAACGCCATGGAACGCTTCCGGAAATTCATATTCACAGTGCTTCTTTCTCTCCAGTTTTTATTCGTTTGATGTGAAAAGTGCGCGATCTAATCTCTAAACGGGTGCATACGTATATATTATATACATAGTTTAATTAATTAATTAATTAACCGAGTGGTGGTTTGTAATTTATAGCAATTATTTTCGTTGGATCGTTACCAAAAAGTGCTTTTTTGTTGTTGTTGTTGAGCGGAGCTGTGGTTCTCCTCTCCCGAGTTTTAAGTGCGCGTTGTTTAACTTTTAAATTAGTTTAAGTCGGATTGTTTCCTACTGTTGGATTCAACACGCTTATTGTTTATAGATGTAATTCTTTTTTTGGTTGCTGTTTTTTTTTCTCTTTAAATTTTCACTTGATGATTGTGTAATAATATTATTATGGTTATAATATTTGTTTTGGAATCGATGTGTCAGGGAAAAACGATGGGCCAAGATCTGTGGCTACGTATCAAGATGAGTACGTTCCATGGTGCTCACTAAATTATTTTTTAGTGAAGTTTTCTTATTATATATCATTTATATATATATTTAGAGTACATTTCGCACAAAGTCCAGGAAAAAAACAAGTAAGTTTACGTATCCAATTTTTGTTTCGTTTTTTTAAAAATCAAATTTGAAATCTGTCTAAATCTCAAATTGTTTGTCTTATTACAGTTTAAATCAAAATAATTCTATTGAATTTCAATTTAAATTATTAACTTAGAATGTTTTAAATTGAATTTTTTTTTCAAATTTAGTATTTTCTGAGAGAAAAAAAATGTTATTTAATCTTTAAATAACTTAAAACAAAACTATTTTCGTATAGATTTATCAGTACAAAACAGTATTGAAACCATGGAAACTCAATACTTTTGTTTTAAAGTAAATTTTCGTTAAAAATGTTGCTATAGTCCAAGTTTTCGCGTTGATTGCGTAAATTTTTATAATAAAAAAAATCTTAATTTTCTATAATTAGTGTTTCTATATAAAGATTTATAATCATATTTTTCAAAAGAATTTTCATCATGTGCAAAAGTCCAAAAAAAAATAATCATTGTATTTTGTCACAAATTTTGTCCCAAATATTTATAGAAAGTAAATTGGATTTTCTGTTTCAATTATCTCGACAAGAGTGTTTCTTTTTCAATTATCACTACAAGAGTGTTATTGCATATTTTGTACTTTACTTCGTTGAAAGAAAAAGTAATTTTTTTTAATTGTAATTTATCAAAATTGTCGTGTACTTCAATTCATGATGAAGTGGAAATTACATTTGTTTTTGTGTAATTTTCCAAAATTGTTGTGTTGATTACTTCAATTGATGAAATTAAAGAAAGAAAGAAAAGGAAACAAGAGTAAGTTAAAGAAAACATGATGAGA